CTGAGCTCAAGCAGTGGCCCTGAGCTCTTGCAGTCGCAGACACAGAGCTCGCGGGAGCTTTAAGGGTAAACACATACGTCGCAGAGCGGCAATCCGAAGGAAATCGACGGCGTGCCTTGAGATCGTCAAACTCAAATCGGAGATGTCGCTCCGCTCGCACGTTCACTTCCTTGTGGTTCAGCTGTAGGTTATACAGTGAGGAAAGCTTCCGGTGTCGTTTTACCCATCGCTCAAAGAGCGCTTCGTCATCTGTAGCGCTTTCGCCAGGGGCTAACAGTACAGGTATTGTCCGCATTGCGGGTACTCGAGAGCCACCTCGTTGAGCACTGAGACGAGTGCGATAAGCTTCTAATGGAAATTCTTGCGGAACCATGAAACGAGCTCATAGAGCTTTCCGTTTGGCAAGCTCATCATCCGTTCTGGCCGGAGGCCCGACAATGTGCACGCGAAACGATCGAGTTACCGCGTCCTTCGTTCCACAGCGGGATCCGCCGGGCGAATGCCATATTCCACACGAGGGTGAATGACCGGTCGTGGATGGTTGCGCTTCAGAGCCGTCTAATGGACAGCTTCCAGCTGCCGCTTCTGTTCCCCGTCGAGGTCATTGGTGATTACACCACGGGGTGACGAGAAGTCAGGGAACGGACATGGGGTCCACAAGGCGCGATCAGGGCTCATATCACGCCGCTGGCGCAGCTCGCCTTCCTCATCATCCCACGCAGGAAAAGAAGTGTCGGGCTCGTATTCGACCACCTCCGCATCCTCAACGAGGTCACTCGTCATTGATAGCGTGTGCGAAGCGCGACGCCCGTGATCATCAAGCCTAGGATGTACATTCCCCGGTGCCGCAGACGCACTGTCCGACATTGCACCGCGTGCTGGAGACGAAGTTGGGCTCTACCCGTGTTCGCTGTCAGAACCAGCGAGACTTGGTGACTTTAGTGTCGTTGAAACAGGGCTCATTGTGCACGGAAGTTGTTTTATTCCAACGAACCAAGTTGCAGTGTCTAGCGGACTCGCGAGCCTCGTTGAGACAATAATCGATTGGAGCTGTAGAAGTTCTCAATCTTAATGTGGAGAGTGTAACGGGGTTACACTTACCCTGGTAACATGGGTGTGCGTCACGCGAGATGGGCATGGTGTGACTGCACCCAAACAAGAATACGGTACGTGGCAAGGTAGCCAGTGGTTATGAATGTATTTAGATTTTACTATATAACGGATTTTTACAAATAGAAGACCTTCTACTGTTACAGGCCCCCATCGAATTTTCGACAATGTTCTACAAATAAAAGACCGCTTCGATGAAAAAACCTCTTCAAATAAAAGGCCGCTGTAAACACCTTAGTATTGGGCCATTATTTTGAAATCGATCATGCGTCAAGCAATTGAGCTCGGAAAGAAGCAGGAGGCGATCAAGTAGATCGGCGAGCAAGGTGGTGGCTTGCCGAGC